TTTTTTAACAGTGAGGGTGACAGAGCACTGGAACAGGCTGCCCAGAGAGGTTGTGGAGTCTCCTTCTCTGGAGATCTTCAAAACCCGCTTGGATGCAGTCCTGTGCCACGTGCTTTAGGTGTCCCTGCGTATGCAGGGGGGTTGGACTAGATGATCTCTAGAGGTCCCTTCCAGCCCTAAGCATTCTATGATTCCATGATTCTATGACTAGATGATTTCTAGAGGTCCCTTCCAACCTCAGCCATTCTGTGGTTCTGTGAGAGCAATTGCATTATGTACAAGAAATAATTGGCATTTCCATTGGTTTGGTAGTGAAGTATCCTGGATATGTGTTAATCTTTTTTTTTGAATATTGGCATGTAGTAAGGTAGAGAATGGCTTTCATGTAGCTATGAAACTTGCATTTAAGCATGTATAATGTATATCAGTCACAATGTTTGCAGATTTGAAAAAAAAAAAAAAAGGTCTGTATAATAAAAAGTACGTTCTTGCCTCTGGCAGGGGGGAAAAAACAGGATAAAAAGCTGTATTTACAAGAAGTTACTGTCTTGGGTTTTTTTTTTTTTTTTTCCTTTCAGATTTGTGTGGTTTTTAGCAAGGAACTAAAATGCTGGTGTAGAGCAATTATTAAGTCAATCATGTCCTGCACAGATTATTATCTAGTGGAATGTTTTCTTGTGGATTATGCCAAATATATCTACGTTAAATCAAAAGAGTAAGTGTTAGTCGTTTTTTTGATTCTGTCACTGTAATATATTTCTTCGTAATGTGCACAAAGTTTAGCTGACTTGGTTCAATTAAGGTATGGGTTGGGTCTATAAAAGACTGTTAGGTGTGTGATGGGCTGTTGTCTGGGTGGATGAAAATTCTTTGCTCTGCACTTTCCTATTGCAGTTTTTTCCTTGACAAACAAAATAAGGAGGCTGAGAAAATGGCAATTTATGTGCAAAATGTACGATTGCCTGTTACATTGTTTAGATATGTTTCTCTTTCTTATTAAGAGATTATAAACTACTAAAATTAAGAATGATAACCAGTGAAGATCACTGGCAAAAAATATGAAGATGAGGCTTTCAGTTGCTGAACATCTTTATGGCATCCACATATGGCAATGTTTTGTTGTTGTTTTTCAAATTCAATTTGTTAGCTTGTTTACTTTATTAAGTGCTTACAGTCTGACTTGGCATGATGCCAAAAGATGAGTTTTCCTTTTTCTGTTTCTGAATAAAGCAGTATGGAACCTACTGTTTCTAGACTCTTGAAATAAAACAGACAAGCATGTTTCAGTTCTCAGTTTCGGATAGAGTTGATGTGTTTAAGATACACAGCTTTGAGTACTATTAGTTTGAATAATTGTCCTTCACAGTATTCATAAAATGAAGAAGGCTTATCTTAAGGAAAAGAAAAACTTATGAGTTAAATGATGGTTAGTACTGGATGTCCTTTTATGAAAGAGCAGCTTGACATTGCTGTGAGTTTAAAAGTGTGTTTTGATAGAGGAAGTTTATTGCTTTATTTACTGCTTAAAATGAAATGCAGATCTTAAAAACGTGTTATATACGGTATCTTGCTGTTTATTAAAAACCTCCCAGCAAACTGAGTCAAGAGATAATTACTTATCAATGAACATTTAACTGATAGCTTCACCAAGAGTGGTGTTTTTAGGAAAACAAATACAAATGAAGGAAGATGATTGTTTTAATACACTTATAGATCTTACTGAAATCTGGTTTCTCACTTGGAAGCAAGAATTTCCAAATGGTGTATGCGATATCAGCATGATAGTGTGAGGGCTAAATATCATGAAAAGACAAAAATGTTGAGAATAAGTATCAGAAAACTTCCCAGCAAATGGAAAGTTACTGATATCCAGAGCAAAAGTATTCACTGATTGCTGCTGGTAGTACCTCTCTTGGAGAGAAGAAAAGAACAATGGTTTCAGGAAGTGCTCCAGTAGGAGCCAAAACCCTGCAAGAACAGGGTAATGGATAATGGAAAGAGGTGCATGAGGGATGTGACAAGAGTGAAATTTGCTCTGTAGAATGATGTTATTTCTGCTTTGTTTTTAAGCATTCGAATTGCAGAGGACAAATTTATGCAAATTCCATATAGAGCAAAGCAATGTGGACTGTATCGCACAAAGCCAGTGACTTTACATATCAACTTTTGTGAAGATACTGCAAAAATAATGTAAGTAGAGTTTAAGATAAAGTGTGCTATAATCATAAATCTTTTAGATGCGATCTTTTATTCTGTTGCAGAATTTTCTTAGGCTTTGTTTTAGGAAGAATAAGAGATCCAATTTGGGAAACATGTTCTATTTCAGATGGTTGGTTCATTAACAAAACAAGCCCCACTTTGAAAAAACTGGATGAGCTTTCCTCAGTACCTGACTGGAGGGTCCCAGGATCTTTTAATGTTGATGGTTAGAATCATGTAACGTTTTATAATTATATGATGCTCATTCTTGTGCCAGCAGTGTTGTTTAACATATTTCTTCTTTTCCTTTCCTTAGGATACTAAGAGGAACAATTTAGCCTTTATTTTGTTGAATCAAAACATTCCTAATTTTTGCCTCTGTAGTGCTTTTCTTCTTTCTTGTAATTGTTTTTCTATCACTTTTACAACTTGGTGAAATTTGAATTACTATTTTCCTGAACATGGGTGACTGGAACTGCTTGTGCAATTCAGAACTCTTCATAAAGGTCTGATATTATCTAGAAGTCTGAGAAGGGATCTGTCATCTTCCCCGTAGCTAAAATAATCGGTTACTAAAAGAAGTAGGAGGTTATGTTCAGCTTTCCATTTTTCTTCCTTTTTCTTCATGTTTTTAATGCATTCTTTCTTTCAAAACAAACAAGCATCTGTTCAATTGACATGGAGTCAAAGAAGTTTATAAACCTTCCAATTTATATTCCAGTTTCATCATCTCATGAATTTTGACTTTTTTTTAAACAAGTTGATATTTGCTGTTTCAGAATTTTGATATGCACCTTGTCTCCTTATTCCAGTTCGATTGCAGTAAGTTAATTAAGGATTGTGCAAGTTGTTTAATTCCTTATTGACTTGGGCTTTAGCATTGAGTGGTGTGAGCCTTTTAATGTTTATTTAGACACCAGAAAATTTTGACAAGCTTCTGTCAGTTTTCTTGTCCTTGCTCTGACATCTAGCTGAACTGATATCTAGCACAATATCTAGCACATGAGTTTCTTTATCAGTCCATCCTTTTGTGCTATTTTTGCATGTAGGGGTTGTATTGTGTGTGGGGGCAGGGAGGATGGTAATTCTACTTGAGTTCTGCAATTGATTTCCCCCCGCCCCCCCCAAATTGCTCAATGTAACATAGTAAAAATATGCGGGGAATAAAACAGGGCTCGATTAGAGTTGATTTTTAGTGATAAACTATGAGCGTGATTATAAAGACTTAACTTACACAATAAGTGATAAGTCTGCTGATACTGTTCTACTGCATGCAGTCTTTAAGACTTCTTACCATTTTGAGACAAATCATTTCTAATATGTGTCAATTTTCATAATACCATTTTAATTGTTGATGTTTTGGGGTAACTGGTTATGTTTATTACGTTTATTTTCTTAGACCAGCTAAAAGATGGGATTGTGCTGCTGCTCAATATTTTCAAAGCCTTCTCAAAGGTAAATAAAATATCCTCTCAGAATCATAATTGCCACTTTTCCTGCCAGAGCACTAGGTACTTGGCTTTATGTATTTGATTAATCGTCACAACATTCATGAGTATACAAATTAAAAATGAAGAGTAATGTACCCATATTTTTTTTTCTTTTTTTTTGATTGACTAAGCCAAAATTATGAATAGTCAGTCATCAGCTATGAATGAGTACAGACCTTCAGTGTGGTGGGCTTCCACACCATGGAAAGTTCAGTAGTTGAATAGATGGTGTCTGATTTGGGTGTTTCAGGCTGAATAATGTAGCACTGATTATACCATCTGCTTTGGAGAGTGGGGCTTTTTTGTGCCTTAACCTCGACCTTTGATTCAGCATTACAGCCCTCTTAGCTATCTGCTTTTGTTGTTTAATCTTTTTATAGAAATGGGAGGGTCTGCCTTACCAGCTTACCCCTTCAGGTGTGTAACTTGATCATAGATATGTTGTTTAATAGATTGTACTTCAACTACATATTTAGTGAACTAGAACTACGTGTTTTCCAGTCTGTTCTTGTCCTTTTCCACATTTGATGTTTCAGTAATTCATCCAGTCTTTCTCATATCTAGCCTTTATTCTGGTATGAGATAGCTCTTAGTCTTTTTATAAAAAGACTTTTATACTAAAAGTGTCTTTCATCTTCTTAATAATGAGCTTCTAGCTGGAAAAAAACACCTGTTTTTTCTTATATGGAGTTTGTTCTACTTGTGAGTAAGCAGGTCATTGAATGGTAGAGGATGAATGTGAAAGTAATAAGGAGTCTTTACGTTGATAATGTTGCATACTGACTGGAACATAGTGCTTTTCATGATTTATACTATTTCTTCACACATCTTAATTATTACAGGTAATTATAAAAGTAAAGGTTAGAAGGGAGAAAGGGTAACATGAAACTTAATTTCAGAGATATCCCGAGACCCAACTGTTAAGAAATAATATAAACTTTTTTTTATTGGTACCTCATTAACATATGCTGAAGAACATTTCAGAATTTCCTGACAAGCATGATTTAATAGGAAAATTTACTGTTCAAATACACAGCATAACCCAAGTATATACAAATATGTCTTCTGTAAAGAAGAACAAATTTTGTATTTGGAAAGCATACATTTTTATCAAAGATTATCTGAGGATAAAAAGTAAACTAAAACTTTTAATGTAGAAGTGAGTCTAGTTTGTGTTCTTGTTTTTTTATTGCTTTGTTAGACTCCTACTTCCTTAAAAAGTACTATATTTGTGCTAGTTTATCTTCAAAGAATTATGTTATTTATTTTTTTGTCGTAAAATTTTTGTCACAAGCAAAAATACTAATAATTTGGTAAGAGCTTAATATTTTCCTTGTTTTTGTGCTTTTTGTTACTACATTTAGCAACTACTGAAATCAAAGCCCAGTTATGTGCTGTCGAAGGTAACAAATTTGATGTTCTACTTTATGTGACAATAAAAAATGAGAAGGTAAGAATTTTTTTTTCGATCTACAGCACCTCACTATATAAAATAAAAAATTCTGATGAAGTTAAGACCAAAGAAGAATTACTTCTAAATGAATATTTTTAATTTCTGTCAGGTACAATAACAGCTAAATCATTTACTTAATAAAGGTTTGGCTTTGTATTGGCATTGCTCTTAACCTTCTATACCTGTACCTGTTTTTAAGCACTGGAGTCTTTTTTTTTTTTTAATTACTTTTTGTTTTTGTTGTTAGTGAAATACTGTCTGGAGAGTTTAAAGAAAGTTTTACAATTTTAACATTGAATTAGTCTACACCTCACATTAATATGTCACTTTAAAAATATGCAGTAATTCAAATGAAGAGCTATTGTGAATTATTTTTGCGCAGCTTGTGTGGTGTCTTTCTCATTTTTATATTATGCAATTGTCTTAATGAAACATCTTTAAATATTCCACACTGTTTCTCTACATAAGACTGTGTCCTTTGGAAAAACTTGGCCCACATAAAACGAGTAACTTGACATAGAGCAACTACAGCAGAGATTTAACAAATGACTTGAGCAGTTCCTCAGTATATTTCAGTTAATTTCTTTAAACATAGCTTCTGAATTGAGATATATCAAGGCTTTTAATACTGAAACTGTGCAGACTGTGCTATAGACAATAACTTTGAAGGTACGTACTAATTCTAATCTCTGATCAGTTTAGAATCCCAAATGGCAGTAGTGTCATTGATCCTGCTTGAGTCAACAGGTTTTAGAGTTTAGGTATAGCAACACTTCGTCCTGATTTTTTTTCTGTTTTTACACTTATGCGGAATGAAAAAGATTTAAATTAGCTTGACTTCTTAAAAGTTTTAATTTTTTTAAGGGGTCACAGAAAGAGTTAATGAAATATAGAATTTCAGTGAGAAGAAGCTAAAGTTGCTTTAGAGAAGATGCATAAAGACAGTACTTCATTTTTTATTCTTCAGAAAGCATTCGCAGGCACCTTTTCAGTCTTGTTATTCAAAGCTTCAAATACATCCTAAAAATGTATGTGATGTAAGTTTATTGCCTGTAGATACTAGATAAGAAATATCTTCTTTTGTAGGTATGTGTTAATGATGATCTAGTCTCAAAGAATTTTGCTCATTTTGAAGAAAGTAAAGAGATTGCAGAGTGTCCTGCAAATGATGAAGAGAGCGAGACATCGTTAAATGCCAAGTATCCTCTTCCACTGAAAATTACTCATCCTTCACTTGCTTTCAACCCAGTACTATTTCAGGAGGAGGTAGCCAAGAACGTTGAAACAGGTGAGTAGCCTGTATATCAGGAAGTCATATATGCAATGTGTCATATATGTTTAATTGGATATGTTGAACCTCGGCCTGGTGTCGTGGTTTGAGTCCAACAATTGGATAAAATGGTTTCCCCTTAACAAAAGATATTTATATATCAGAAGAGCAGTCAAATAATCAGATGAAGGAATAGTGTAATGTAGGAAAGCTAAGGATGAATTGATGTAAGCATTTGTTGATATGCCTAATATTATTAGATGTTGTTATTAAAATCACTCAGCTTTGATAAATAGTAGGTTGTTTTTTTGAGTTTGGAGGGTTTGATTTGAATAGAGGTGCTTTTAAAACTATAAGTTTGCTTATTGATTCATTTTTTTTTAAAAAATGCAACTTTTCTGGTTTGATAAATATTTTAGTTGTCTGCTCAGTTATCTTTTAGAACTGTAAAGCTAACTATGTTTTTTGAGTAGAAAATTGCAAGAAGCTTGATGACAAAACAGGAGCAGCCCACTGTAAATAATACTGGAATGTTGGTTCTGTATGTGCTCAGATAGCTTAAACTCACACACTTACTTTCTTCCTAGGTCATACTGTCTCCAGTTCCTTTCCTTTCAAGAAAGGACTAAATAATCACCAAATGTCAAGCAGAGATCTAAATGGAAGCACCGAATCTGTAAGTATTATATTTCAGATTATATTATCAAAGTTGGATAATGACTACTGTAGTCATCTGTCTTGTTCCTCTGTGTAACCTAGGTCTGGGACTGCATGAATTCCTAGTGTATTTCAGAATTTTCTAGTGCACTTTCTTTAATTACAGAGGATAAAAATGCACTACGCCTTTCAAGAGTTACCCCTTCTTATCCAGTCCTTTCTTTATAATTTTATGAAGATGGTAGCTATCCATATTAGGATTTTCAATTATTTGAATATATAGTGAGGTAATTTTGTAATGTTTTCCTGTAAACAGATTAGTCCTTACATTATATTTTGGTAAATGCTCCTGGAGTCTCTTATTTGCCATGTCTTACAGTACATAAGTTTGGATGTTTAATCTTTTAATACTGGTGTATCCAGTTTTTCTCAAAGATCTTGTGGGCTGTCCTATGTCCTCTTCTGCAAAACATTTAAAGGAAAGATTTGCCTTTTTTGATAGCAGCGGTACTAGCTCTTTCCTCAGCAACGAGGAAAAGATGTTTTACAGAAATTAATTTCTAGCTCTGCTGAAAATTGGGAGATGGCAACTGTTTTTGAAATTACCCTGGAATATCAAAAGATTTTGAAGACAGTCATGGTGAAAATGAATTATTACTGGAGCAGAGCAAGATTCCTGTTACACCCTTCCAAAAAGAGCTAGCGGAATTACCTTTTAAGGTACTTGGCGGATGCAGGTCTTTCTGCTCAAGTTGTACTTAATCAAGTTGCACCTATTTGATTGTTTGTGCTGTGTGATGAATGAAAGTAAATTCTCTTTTCCGTAACTAAAGATCTTTGAGGTGGTTGGGGGTTTAATACTTGCTTGTTTCCTTGAGGAGTTGCTCTGTCATGCAGCTTAATTCCATGAGCATTTACTTTGTAAATATGCATGTGGATGTCATTGCTGGATTTCAGAACAGGTTAACTTGTTCTATTTTTCTTGAGTTTGTGGTGTGCAAGCTTTTTTGTTTTTCTTTTGTTTTAAAGATACACTATATGTGTAAGAACTAATTAGTATATGTTCATACTGTAAGTCGTGCTGTTTTGGCTCCTCATTTACAGCAGTAGCCAGAGATATGGTCATAAACTGATTTTAACTTCGTGTGGGTAGTGGTCTTATATTGTTCTTGATTCTTAATAAAGATTTTACAACTTCCATGGAACAAATTAGACTTTTTTACCTGAAGATTTTCGTTCAAATTTTTGTTATAATCAAGCTTGCAGTTTTGTACAAAGAGATATCTAAATAGTTAGAGAATCCTGCAGTATGGTAAGAAATCCAGTTTAAACTCTGTACTTAACCTTTTTTCAAAAATGTTGGTCTTGAGGAGTATTTCAGTGTTTAAGTATTTGTTTGTATTTTTTTGTTAGATTGTCAAAGGAATGCCAGGTTTGCCTTTTGACGAAAACACAGCTATTCATGTTCACACAGACATGAATATGGTTCACACGGACAGGTATGGTTCGATGTGTAGAATATTTAAAATAGCAATGTAAGCAAATTTGCAGAAGCTGTAGTATGTTTTTGGTTATTGTTCTGAGGAAGAGGGGAATTTGAAATTGCAGTCGTTCATCCATACTACACCAAAAATAACAATTCCTTCCTTTAAAAAAAAAAAAAAAGTCTAAAAAGCGTATTTTTAGGAAGTACTACCCTGTCTATTAAACATGTTGAGTTGCTCCTGTTGATTCTAGGCTTAAGCTATAATGTTTTCTAACATAAGGAAATGAGAGCATGAATTGATTTGTGCCATCGTTCGTTGCCCTGTGACATCTGACAGTTGAGTGAATTCTTGGTTTGTGAGAAGATTTTTGAAATACTAGTGGTATTAATCATTTATATTTTACTCTTTCATTTATATTGTTTCTCATGTCTGGACACTTCAGACTTCTGCAGTTCTTAAATTCTAATCCTCTGAAGACTCACCTCATTAAAGATGACCAACAGGTATTATACACATTAACTTTCATTTAATTTGTGCTATTAGACTGGTCGATTATTTTCTTTCTGTCTTGATGCTGTAGTTGAGAGCTAACTGCACACAGAACATACAATACATTCTTTTGAGAAGTCTGAGGCGTTGTTGTGTTATCACAGTCTTTAAATCTTTTTGAGAGAAAAGGATGCTAATTTGACATGCCAATTTTCTTCAAAATACAAGAAATGCTATTGTGTCAATGTATACACTAAAATCTTTTTATTATGTATTGCCCTTAAAACTGTCTTCTGCTTGTCATACAGTTTCAGAATTTTCAAAATGTTAGTGCAGAAGGAAAGTTTGTTTTTCTTAGCAACAAAATTGAGCCATCTACAATTCTGGAAACAGCACCACTTTTTGATGAACTGAAAAAGGTAATACTAGTCTTTATAATTACACTGAATAAGGATAGTATTGTGTATCGTGCCCCAACATAGGTCTCGGATAACTCATCATTGTGGTAGTATGTGATCTTGAGTGTTTAGGAAGCTGTTTATATAACTGAATAAATTAAGGAACTTTAGAAGGATTAGTTAGATTTTGGTACAGTTTCCTTCTGGTAGATCAGCTACTGTCACGCATCATAGGATTTGAATCTAATTTTAGTTTGTTAATTTTTCATGGATGCTAAGGATGTTTATTGGAAAGTAGATCAACAGTCTAGAACATGCTTATTGTTTATTCTTGTTTGTAAGTATTAACATTTAAATACCTCCTTTTCATGTGCAACTCTCCTTCTCTTTTTGTAGGAACTTATTCGGAAAAACTTTTTAGGCCCTAACTTCACAGAATCTTATTGTTGGCCACCAATAGCTCGGGGATGTGATGTACTTGCCATCTCACATCAGGGAAATGATCCTCTGTTATATATTCCACCACTTCTTACGTTTTTGCAATCAGAAAGTTGCTACAAATCCTTGCCAAATAGGAGTGGAGTATGTATATATTAAAGAATGGTATCAGGTTTTCTGATTTACAGTGCAGATGTAGAAGTACATGGTTAGAAAAATCATCCAAAAAAGGCTGAATGTTTCATCCTAGACAGTCTTTGTATAGCTCTATAATGTTTAGCAGTTGATATACAAAATCCACTGCTTAAAGGCTTACAAACCGCATGAATCTGGAGGTCTAAAGCTCAGTTATCAAGTAATGTCTAAGAAGCGATTAATGTCATCACTCAGATATTCCATGAAGTTTTGTTCTCAAGGTGATAGTCTGTCCTCATTAAATTCAAATTTGTAATAACTGTTCAAAACAGCTGTTTAAAACATCTTTTAGCTGTTCCAAATATATGAATTTCTTCTGTAACTTTCATCAGATCATAGAAACATAGAATCATTGAGCCTGGAAGTGACCTCTGGAAATTCTCATACAACCTTAATAAAATAAGACACTGCAATTTCTATGTTCAAATTATTTTTGGACACTTTACTTATTGGTGCTTTATGCATCCTTCCTTATGTTTTCAGGTATCCTGACCTATGATTCCTTGCATCTAAAATATCTGCATTTAGGATATATTACAGTACTAAAAGCTTCAGTTTTAAAGTATTAAAACTCCTGTTTTGCCTATTTTATTTGCCTTAAATACTGACATAGCATGACTTAAGATTCTCGACTGCTGTCTAATACTGTATAAAATTGTCTGTGCATGAATGTAGCCACTGGCATTAATTGTATGTCCTGGATGGAAGAAGGCGCAACTTGTGTTTGAATTATTGAAAATATACAGCAGATTTTCCAGACCACTTCATCCCATGTTGATAATAGTTGGGCAAAAAAAAGAAGAAGCTAGGGACATTAGAATTCATCGAGGATGTAAGAAACTTTTTTATATTTTCAGTTTTTTACTTAAATATTTTTGAAAACTGTATGGGTTGTCTTTTTTTAGGAAATGGTGAAAGAAGCATTTAGTAGTTTGTAGGTCTTTTATTCTATAAATTGATAGTTCTGTGTATTTGACGCTAATTTTGTATGGAGTTCTAGTAATGCTATTTAACTGTAAATGTTATTAAGCTAGTCTCTATGCTGTTCTGCCTCTGAATCTTAGCACCTGTACCCTCGATATTTTTGTTTTAAGCTCCATGACTATTAGTCTTGAGTCGGATTAATTTTAGAGATATGCTAAAGATAATGCTGAAGTAGGATTAATCCTGGCATTCATTGGTTTTGAACCAGATTTTGTAATAGCTTTGGTTGGTGTGTAAGTATCCATTCCTAACAAGGAAATGTATGTACACAAACAAACCCCCATGTATGTGAGGGTGTTCAGAAATTTATTGATAATTATTTGGGAGACTGGTCTGATGCTGCTTTACAGCACACAAACTGAATGCGGTTCTGCGCTATCCTTTGTACAAAAGGAAAAGAGAAGGTAAAAGGATGCTGAAAGAGGAAATGATTTAAAAGGAGGTAATAGTTCACTGAAGACAACTGCATAAATTAATAATCCTATATTCTTAGAAGCTGTTTTTATGACAGTTTCCTCCTTTTACTGCAGTATGCTTATTACAGTAACTTCCAAATAACTTGTGTATTTAACTGCAGTAGCATGAGGAGAATATAGTGAAGAGGTAGCATAAAGAGGCCAAGAAAAAAGCTATTGACCTGTCCTACTAAGTCTTCATTTATTAAAAACATGTTATTTACTTTGGCTGTTCTTATGTGGACTTTCTGTTAAACCTTGACCAGCTCAGCTCTGAGATCAGATATGTTGCTCAGGGCTTTAATTCGATCAGGTCTGGAAAATCTCTGAGGGTGGAGATGCACTAGAAAACCAAAATACTTACCAACAACACGTCAGACAATTGGGTCAGAGTGTATCTGCATATATGCACATGCACACGCGTGCGTGTGTATTTTTTAAACACCCCATGTGTGTACAGGTACACATATGTTTGAGTATATAAATAATCAAGATAATGCATCAGAAATGTGGATATGCCCTTTTTAATAAATGAGTATGGTTTGTTGCATTTTTCTGTGTTCTTTCAAGTTATGAGTTAAGAACATAACAATTTTTCTTCTAACATGTAGGTGAAGTTATCGTGACTACACCATACAGCCTCTTGAGACTGTTTGAACATCACAGTTTATTATTTCTTAGACTTTGCCATCTTATTTTTGATGAGATTGAGGTACTGTTCTCTGAAGCTAGTGAACAGGTAAATGGGCTCTACATTCAGATGGTGATGTGCTCTTTCTGTTCCGTGCCCGTAACAATCTTAAAGGTGCAGGAAGATACTCAGAGAAACAACCCTTCTCAACTCCATTGCAGAGTATAAGTTGGGAAGAGAGTTATAAAACTAGTGTTTTTTTTTTTTTTTAATTAGAAAACTAAGTTCTAGCAGAGTGAAATCCAGAGGTATGTGATTTGTTTATTTAATGGAATTAATTGCTCTGTTTTGTCCTGTTTCATGCTTCGATGGCTGCCTTTGACCTCCTAGGTCTGTTTTCACCTTGTTTGATCAGACAGTGTCCATTATGGTAATATATTTGCTGGGATAGAATAAAAGGATAGAAAAAAAAGTCCTTCTCTCTTTTAATAGGTTTTTACCATACTAGATTATTATAAGAAAACTATAACTATAGAAGAACGTCTGTATTCACCACATCAGATTGTTGCTGTTGGAACTTGTTGGAATAAACATATAACAGAATTACTGAAGGAATTCATGAATGATCCTTATATTGTAATAACTTCTATGGAGGAAGCTTCCATATATGGAAATGTCCAACAGGTAGGAGTTTGGGAATGCTGCAGCTGTTACATATTAACATATCTTACAGTTCAAGTGCTGATTAAGTTCATAATGCAAGTCTGCCGGTTGGTTGGTTTGCATTAAGTTTGATAATGCTGAACTCTGTTCATAATGCAGAACTCTGTTCAGATTTGTATCAGCTTGAGCTGATTCTTAGAAAACCCGTATAATATTAGTTGCTCAATGAATGGAAGGTCTTTTAATTTGGTTTGCAGAACCAAATTTGGTTTGCTATTTCATTATTAGTGAAAAGAGGTTTGGTTTTGGTGTGAAGCACTTTAAGTGGTATAGTTTGCAACAAAAAAAATATATTGGAGCGTGTTTGGAGTCGTTAACTGTGAATGGTAGAACAAAAAGTAAGTTATTCCAAGACAGTGCTTGAAAATTTTGTGGCTCATTTTATGGCTCTGTGAAGCTTGTGCTGTGCAACGTGGAACCTTTTTTGTGGAAATGTTAGATCAAAGTCAAAAATGTTATTTCTCACTTAATTTTCAGGTAATATGCCTTAGTCCATAAGAATAGCACAAAATGTTGTAACTGTGACTTCTGTTATTTGTGTCATAAATTGGAACTTAAAATGTTGGGAAATCTGTATGACTTGAAGCATTGCACAGGCCTGAAAAAAATACCGGTCTTGTGATAAGTTGAATTTGTTGTTCGACAAGATTGAAAGATGTTAGCGTTTTAATGCGTCACTCATTAGCAGAGTATTTCAGACAGTGTGGGGTTTCTTTGCGTGTGTGTTTTTGGGGTGTTCTTTTGGAATGATACTTGAAAACGTCAAGCTTGCATTGGTAGATTTTGATTTAAAAATAAATGAAAAAGATTGTTGGCAACTTTAACAGTTTTATTTAGGTGCTTAAATATGGGAGTTGGTTATGTTAAGTGAATATATGCTTTTGGAAACCATTCTAAATTGATGTCCTTTCTAAGAAGTGTATCTTAGCTAGCAAAAGAGCTAGGGTGTTTTTTATTTAGGTGATATTCTATAACAATGTGTAGTGCTTAGTAAAAGGAAGAATTACGTAGCAAAATCGGGTAATTACATGAGTTATCAGTCTTGTGCTTGTACTGACTTCTAGGTTGTGCAGCTTTGCTTGAACAGTGAGAGGATTGCCGTGTTGCTCAGAATACTGGATTTAACACCTAAGCATATTGAAAAGACGCTCATATTCACTAGCACAACAAGTGAAACAGAAATGGTTCATCAGGTAACAGTTTACAGAGCTACATGCTATTTAAAATGTTAACATGACAAGTTAAATATCTTGGTCTCTATGAAGAAAGGGCTATGCATCTAGAAGGTGGCTATTTCTCTCTGTTAAGAGGTCCCAACGCCACCTTTTTGCCAGCTCTAGAAAAGCTTAGCTATGTAGGCATGTCCTACATAGAAAGCACCTGTTACTGAGTATATAACCAATACCTGACTGTTAAATGGAAACTTTTGATTTGGATCAAGGTGACTTTTTCTTTGTAAAAATTCTGATAGTGTGAGGATGTGTGCTTTTGTGTGTGGGGGGGGATTTGGGGAAAAAAACAAGCCATGACGTTATGAAATGTTGTTCTGTTGCCTTTCTACTTTCGGAAGACTAAACTTGTAGAAGGCTATTGCCCTCATTTGCCCTCATAATTAAGCCAGGTTTGAAGTCCTGAGGATTTGAGAGGATAGCATGCTTGGTAGAAGTTTTCTTAGAAACTGACAGAAAATTTCTTCAAAAATTTTCCCATAAAATACTTTCCCATAGAACTTATTCTTAATTGGATTGTGTACTAAGTATTTAAGAGAGGAAGATTAAGGACTTGTCACTGCCCTTAGTCTTTCTGCAATGAACGATGGATAGTAATAGAGAATAGAAAGTAGCACAGAGAATAGAATAGAAAGAATAGGATACTAATAGAGAATAGAGATAAATCTTTGCTGCACTTAATTGGCTCTTTCCTGGTTCTCTGAAGGTATGAAGCAAGAGTCATGTACAGTCTGATTTGGTGGTTAAGCAGGAAATGGGGAGCAGTGCTGTTAAGCCTGGACAGCGAGGTGTGTGCTAAGTGGGGCAGGCTGTGAGGATATTAAAATTAAAATCTCAAGAAATCTTGGAGATGGCTTCAAGGATGAGAGATTGAAATGATGTATGGCTAACTGCTCAGGTGTAATAGGAATAGATGGTCAGAGATGCTGAAAAATGGGAATATATTGATTTAAAAATGCTGTAGTATATCATTAAGGATGCTTATAGTGTCAGTGTTAATGTATCTGGAATAAGTGTTAATTTAGTTCATTAGGCACTTGAGTTTTTAATGTACCCAGTGCTTTTGTATTTCACTTCTGATTTATGAGCCTTGAACTTGACAGAGGTGTAGAGCCTTTTGATGTAGGAAACGAATAAGTTTATTCTTAAGTAGATTTCACACAAACAACCTAAGAATTGCATAACGTCTTTATTGGCTCTCCTTTTATAGTAACTAGGGGCAGCTAGAGGCTAACAAGACATACTAAAACTAGAAGTATTAGAGCAGTTATTGTAGTATGTTAATGACACTTTCTTTTATCATCAGGCACTGAGAAGCAATTCGGTATTTTCTGTGGAAATACATAAAGAAAAAGAGTTTAGTTTTGAATATGCTTTACAGCACTGGAGTTCTGGCACTCGTGTTGTGTTAGGTGAGTATTTTCTGTTTTGTTATCAGTTTGCAATTGCTGCTTCTTGGTGAATTACTTTGTACCAGCTTATTTAGCTGTTGCAATCTTCAGAAAGTGTTAGGGAAAAGTCTGTTTTGTCAAATGTTAGCAGATGAGGTTCATCTGCTTCATTGAATTTATACTTGAATTTGACTTATTCCTAGCTAAATAATTACCAAGTAGTTTGCAGTAGCTATTTCTGGTTTTGTCTTGATACTGATTCAAGATACAGGATTACACAGGAGGAGACTAATGTATATTCCTGTATATCTGTATATCGTGTATATCTGCCATAGGGCTATGAAATTTGACTGAAGAAACGTAATACTTTATGTGAGTGTATTTTAAAAAGATCTTTTTGTTGTTGTTCTTACAGCAATGAATGGGTAAAAGGAGACAGGTGTGACAAATATGATGTAATACTTAAGATAATTGTAGTACTACTTAAATACATTGTATGTATGAAACATGTTTTTAGTCTTAACAGATGACTGCATGCAGTCTTTGGGAATTACGGATGCAACTTGTGTGATACATTTCAGTTTTCCTTCTTCTCCAAGAATCTTTGGTCAACGACTACAGAACATGTCTGACAACTTCCATAATGTGATAGAGAAGGTTTGATCAAATCATGAGCAAGTTAATACTAACATTTGATACTTATGCAGCGGATAAGCGAATTTTGTGGGTTTTTTTGTTTTTTTTGTTTGTTTGTTTGTTTGTTTTTAGGGTTCTTGTGTAGATCAGGAGCATACAAAGGCAAGGTCAGTCTTATTCTTGACAGAAAATGATGCTTGCTGTGCTCTTGGGGTCCTGCGCTATTTGGAGCGTGCTGAAACTGAAATCCCACGAGAACTTTATGATTTTACTGCCAGGGTGCTAGAAGCTGAAGAAGAGAAGAAGTTTGCAAGGCCACTTTGCACCTATCTTAAAACACTTGGGATTTGCAAGTAAGGAAATAATGCCTTGTTCTGGAAGTATGGGTATTGGGAAAACTTACTTCCTCTGAATTATTACTAGTATTTGATACTTGATCAGTTTTCCTGTGGAATACTCTCATTTGGGTCAGATTTTGCTCGTGGTTCGTTCTTTGCTGCTTTGCTTGTGCCATTTTTTATATACTTCTATAAAAACAAAAAACAAAACATTTTTCTGGAGATTAGTATGTAGCCTGGTGCCGTAATTGGTCCTAACACTTATTCAGATATACTTCAGCAAGCTTCAAGGCATTGATTGATTGTTACTCTAGGCATAGCTTCAAGCCACTGATAGATTATTATTCTAGGCATGGTTTCACTTGGCTGGTACATGCCTTTTCTCCCCTGTCCTCTCCTGTCCCTCAGAGGTGGGCAGGTAGATGGTAACTTATCTATGAGCTGTGTACAAATGGGCCATAAGTTGTGCCTGACAGGAAGCTAACATGTCAAGTATGGCTTCAGGGAAGATATTGTTAACGAGGAATGAAAAAAGTTAATTTTTAGTGTTTGTTTTTGTCTAAATTAAGGTGACATGTTTATTACGAACTTCACTCATTAAGATAGTTTTGATGGTTTTGTCTGCCTATCTCCTTCAGTCATTGTTACTGTTCAGTAATCAATTTCTGTCCCATTTGGGACTCATGCAAACTTCTAGTTGTTAAAGTGTTTCAAATTGCATCAAAAAATCTTACCACTGAAAATAAAGGGTTCTCTTCTAAACTGTTTTTTCTCCTCATATGTAGGAATAGGAGGGTGTGTGCAGATCGTCATCATATTAATGTACAAACAGATATGCCAGATAAAATTATACCAACGCTTGGGTGTGTGACAGTAAGTTATTAGTATTCATCTTGTTTTCAGGTACAGAGAACAGATCATAGGTAGCTATATTTGGCATGTTAATATTTTTCCTTTTAGATCTCACTAATATTGTATTATTTATCTCTGGGATGTTTTTCTTTTTTTTTTTCTTTTTTTTTTCTCTCCATCTTGGACTGGCAGGGGTTGCAGCATAAATAAGCAGTATAAAATATTTTCCTTATTACTTCTTACTAGGAGCTGAAAACGTTTTGCTGGTGATAAAGTTGCACTCTGACTATCTTCTGCCTTAATAATGAAGATTTTTCTAGCCTAGCTTTCTGTGGGCAGGAGACACATGTTCCATTTATTCCCTCATGTAAACTGAGACCATTGACCAAAATTAACAAAGGTTAGCAAGTTCCTATAGATTTTCATGATTAAAATACATTGCACAAGAGACGAGAATTAACATTCTAAAGGGGGAGAAGTTTATTTGGAAAAAATGCATATTTTTTAGAAGTAAGGATTGAAAGACCTAGGTGATACTGAATATGGCAATTAACCTCAGAAATCAAATCATTTGGTCTCCCCCCCCATTTTTTTCCCTAATATATTCTGTGTTGCAGGTAGTGCCTCTCCATATTATAAATGCAACAAACTACTTTGGTCGCATAATAGATAAACAAAAGGACCAATATGCGATTCTTGCTGAAGAAATCAATGATTATTTTAAGAAACCAAGTAATAAGGTCTCTGTTGAAAAGGTGGAGAGGCTAGCATTATATGGATTGTATGAAGAAGCACTTTTTCACAGGTAAAAATGTTCAATTTTTTTGACTTGTTTAATACAAAATAACTTGGTATTTAAGAAAGAAATTTCGAAGTATCCATATGGAAGCTAGAGTGAATAAGTGCATATGTGCATACATGCATTTCTATGTAATTTTATAATTGTAATGTTTTAATATGAAATACACTTTCTGTTTTGCTTACTGTGAAAATTACATTTCTGAAAGATTGAAAAAAGTAGATTAAAAAAGCTTTTTTACAATTGATGTTATAAATAATTTATTTTTTTCTCCTCATGAAGGGTTCAGGTAGTAGAGTTTTCCCCAAAAGAGGAAGAAAAATTCTTTAATGTTACAATTAAATACATAGATGAAGGCAGAATAAGTCAAGTTGAGAGCCATCAATTGCTTCAGTTACCTGCAAGATTTCAGTGTCTGCCACCTCAGGCTGTGGAATTCATAGTTTGTAGCGTGAAGCCCATTGATAATGAAATTGAATGGAACCCAAGGGTAATGTTAATCTTTTTTTCTTCCTCCTCCTTCCCCCCCATTTCCTTTTTTGTTTTGTTTTTTTCTTTGTTTTTGGGTCAGTTTTCTTGGTTTCTTATCTCTTATGAAAAAACAATTATCAAAGTGTAAACTTAGTTTTCAGTTTTCATTGCTTATTAATGCTACCAACAGATAGGCCCAGATAATTTGAAGTTAATTTTCTAGATTTTTATGCCTACAAAATAATGAAGTGAGATTATAGGATTTTTCTTCCTAATGATTTAATAAATGATATATTAGTCACACAACCATTCATATTTTCTTCAAATTGAAACTAAACTATGATCTTTAATACTCTGCCTTATCAGCTTCTTTGTCAGTAGGCAACTTTGGGCATTTCAGGAAGTGATGCTTGAGTCAGTACTGTTCAAGTGATAAATTTCATACTGTTTCTTTGGGAAAAGTCAGAGAAGGCAGAAAACATTTTTCCTTGTTTCTTCAGAAGTTACTCCAGGTGGAGGAAGAGCACATATGGCCTTCCAAAATAAGTTATTGGTAGTCTTGAGTCTTTGGGAGGATATTCTCTGTGAAAGAATCTTTCTGTTTAAGTATCTTTCTGTTAAGGAAGCTCCTTCCTCAAGGAGAATACTGTTCGAATCTGTTAATACTTGGAGCATTTCATCAGTCAATTAAAAAATAATAATAATTTACTGAATACTCTTATCATTAACTTTAATGAAACAAGGTTCAGAGCTTAAAATAACGGCAAAATTATGTTGTTGCACTTCTAAAACAGACTGAAAATTGTTTTTCTCTAGGTTACTAGCCACATTTATCACAAAATTAAAGGAAATCCCCATGAGGCAAAAATAGTGCTTACTTTGGGAAATACAGTTTGGGTTGAACCAATGGTAAGTATAAAATTATGGCATTAGGAGTTTAGATTAAAAAAATTAAAATATATAATTTCTTCTTTTCTTACTACTTATTTACTGTTTTGTTCTGCCCAGCATCTGCATAACACTACTTATCAATATTAATTTTTGAGTGGACAAAGTTTGTGATTGAGTGTATCTCGAACTGCAGAGTTGAATTTGAACCAGTAACAGTAGCAGATGAATTCATGATGTCATTCAGAGTATTCCAAAAACAGTTAATAACAAAAAATGTGTTTTGGAAATGGTGCCTTCCCCTCCTTCCCCTCACACATATGAGGATATGTTTCACATAAATGAATGGGATGTGTTTAATGTTTAATTTGAAGAACAGCCTAGAGGTGGTGAGAGACAGTCTATGAACTATTGTCTTCATGTATCATGTCCTTCAATTCAAGGTCCGGGTTACCAGGCTTTCAAATTTGAAGACGTCTGTCAATGAATACAATGTTCGATCTGAGATTTTGTCCATGGGGCTAGGAACAGACAATCCGGAACACATAGAACAACTTCAGAAGTTGTGCAGACGTGTGAAAGTACCAACTCATGAGAAGAACCTGGAGACTTTGTAAGTGTCTACAATTATTCTACAATCATACCCTTTTTAAAGCATGTATTTTAGTACAGGAAAAAAAATCATTGAATTACATATTTAGAAATGTAAATATTACTGAATATTAATATCAACTTTTCATTTAGACACAAAAATAATGGTACTTGTGATGTCTGCTTTTCTCTATGTTCTTTAGTGACAAAACTAGCCTTTGAGATAGGTAGCTTTGAGTTTGAACTCACTTTCTATTGTCTTTTTTAAGACCAGTTAGGTCTCTTTGGGTGCTTATCAGTCATTACATAACTCCAATAAAGTGCATGGGTTTTGTATGTACAATTGAGGTATTCAAGCTAAAAAAAAAAATTTAGTTAGAATTTCCAAATATGACTAGGAATACTTTAACTATTAAATGCATTTAAAACTTTTCTTTTAAAAGTATGCTTTTATGTCCAAAAGATTAAAGGAGGAAATGGCCAGTCCACAAAGTGTGTCCAGCTTGGAGAATATACAAGAAAACTCGATTGAAAGCTGTAGCTCTTCCAAAGTGACTATGGAGAATCATTCATATGGTAAATGTATTTTCTTTTACTGAGGAGGATTTGGGTGTTCTTCAGTAAAGAAACTTCAGAAAAATAATAGAGAAGTCTTTAATATTTAAAAAGGATGAAATTGCTCTGCCCTTAGCTTAAAAGGGGGATAGGTTATGTTATATCACCAATGTTTGACAGAATTCAGAGTTAAATACTCTCTACAGTCTCTTTCATTACTGAAAAAGAGCTTCAAAAGCACATAATTACATAGACTCTAACTCCTTTGCAATGTTGTATATCACTTTCAGACTGAAATGTAGCAATTAAAAGAATTTAAATGCTACCTATCAATTAAGTCTCAGACTGGCAAAACTTTTCCTGACAGAAAAACATAATGGAAGGCATGAGTTGTTTTGTTTTAAATACCAAGTATAATAGAAATACCAAGTATAATAGTCACTTTTTAGTTAAAATTTTCAGACAACTTAGTAACTTTATGAAATAAGGTAGAATGGGGAGTACCCAGAATAATTACAAATATATGCTTGCACTACTACTCTTGATGCTTACAAGTTATTTTTATCTACTATGATATTCTGAAACTGTCTGGTTTCTACAGTAGAGATAAGAAACAAAAAATATTTATTTATTTTCAGACAGCGTAGCAGAAATTAAGGAAGCAGAAGATTCTACCCTTCATCAGCGTAAATGGTACAAAAATTCAGAACGAGTAATTACTAAGTTTTTACTTTACCTTTTTGACCTATTTCTGTTTATTTCCATTTTTTATTATACTTATCTTCCTATCTCTGAATATTGATACTTAATGACATGAAGTGTTCTTTTGTGTCTATCCGAGTTGTGATTTTCTTAAAAGAACAAAAAATCTGGTTTTATTTTGAAAGGGAGTGCTTGCAACATGGAATTATGATCCATTTTCTTTTTGTAATGTGGATCAAATAAATGTAGATTTGCAAATGTTGAAGATGCCTTTCAGAAAGAAAATGTAAGGTGGTTTGTGGATAAGGCAATCTGGGGAGTGTGCAGTAGAAAGGAGTGCTAAGTGTTTTTCCTTTCTAGGCCAGACTGTTTGTCTTTATGAATATGCTGAAGGATATCTTACTTGCAGTTTGTAGGAAAGCTGGCACACAGTGGATTGTCGAACGTTCTTAAATTTCTTGCAGACTTTGGGAGCAGACAGAGCTGCTCTTGGATGGCTTTTTTTTCTGTTCTACCTATTATACTAGCTATGGATGATTAACATTTTTTTGTGCGTGTACTTGAATATTCATGTTGTATTTTAGCCTATTGAGAAAGTTCTTGGGGATAGGGGGAGGAAACAAAACAAAAAGGGTAATTGAAGATTGAATGTGCATTTATTTCCTTCTGCAGCTTTGCTGCCACATGGAGCAGAGTCTTTACCAGTAGTAAAGACCAGTAGTAACTTAAATTGAGGTGTGGCTCATCAGTTAGTTTTCTGAGGGCTTGCATGGGACTCAAGGTATCATAAGAGAAGCAGCTTGAATGAACTGCTGTCACATTCTTCTCATAATGGGGTTTATCTTCTGTCAGTTACAATATTTTAGAGTTGGGGAGAAATTTGAGATTAAACAGCAGTTGAGTATGCAGTTGAAAACCTTGTTGAGAAATGTGTGTCTGGCTGGTTAAAAAGTTTGCTCCCTTTTTAGAGGTTGGTCTTGTTACCATTACCTTTTCCATTGTCATTTCAAGATTAGACTATGGTAATATACTAAAATGAGGCAATATACTTAGAGTTTATGGATGCTCTGTGTTTTTTCTCACTTTAGTTAATAGATGTGCTCTTCCAAAGACTGAGACTGTAGTGCCTTTGTGGCAAGTTTGGCTGTCAGAATATCATGGGCTTTTCTGACATTGTACAGTGCAAAATTATTATGTCTGAGTACTTAATTCAAATGCTCAAGCTCAGTGGCTTGTCCCAGCTAACTGGGAGAATTATGATTGTATTCAGGAGAACCTGTCTAGAAAGTAAATGAGTTTTGTTTTGGCTTAAGTTGTGTTTAATTTTGTTTATTTTAGCTTTTATCCAGAAATAAAATGGTTTCAAAATGAAGAGACTGTTACAGTGAAAGTTAAAATAGCAAGTATATCAGACTATAAATGCGAGTTCTCTAAAGAGAAGGTGGTTTTCAGGTAGGTTTAAGAAATACGAGTTCAATAAGCATTGAATTTGACTGTCAGCTTTTATTTAGCTCTTTAATTTTTTTTTGATGACGTAGTGCTTGTTCAGGAGACAGATCTTATTTGGCTGACCTGGAACTGCAACAGCATATACTTGCAGAAAAATCTGCGTGTGTGATTAAGGATAAAGAGGCTGTTATTGTCCTTGCCAAAGAAGAGAGCGAGCTGTGGTGCAAGCTGCTGAAAAACAAGGTGAAATGAAAATGAATTTGGAAATTATTGAATATCCTGAACTTACTCATTATGAGACACAGTTAATATTTCAAACGATGTATTTGTTAACAGAATCCTCATGTGTCTTTTGATTTTGAACACTGGGAAGATTTTGAGGATGAAGGCCCATTTCCGACTGGTAAGAAATGAACCAAATGTTGGTGTTCATCATGCTTAAAATAAGCATACTAATTTTGTTTTGCATAGACTTTATCTGAAATACTCAGTTATTTCAGATATGTGGCAGTCCTAGCTGATTAACTGAGGTCTTCTGAAAGCAAAAGAAGGTATCTCAATTACATGGCTACATATAGGAAGGAATTTTTCTTTTAGAGAAGCATGTACAAAAAAAAATTGATCAAGTAGTTCATAGCGTTTTGGTCTGGTTTGTAGTTTACCCAAGTCTATAGTGCATTTTTACATTTCTACATATTATTTGTTGTGAAACTATTGATATTCTCACTTTATAATGTTATATTTCTGTCCTTACTTGTAGGTATTAAAAAATTGCATTATATTAATGAGGTAACAGAATGGATGGACTCTTCAGAAGACAGTGGAACAGAAAGTGATGATTAATTTGGAGATAAATTTCTTTCCTGTGTTAAGATCAATGCCTCAAAATACCATTTCTGTTCTATGAGAACTTCCAGTCAAGTTTGTAGAACTAATTAACACAGGTTTCAGAACTGCCCTTAATTAGGTAGGAGATAAATAGTAAATGAAGTTCTTGCCATTTGGCTTTCAAAATCTGAAGAAATGTTTCACAGAACAACACTATGTATATTTTTCAATGCCTTCACCTTAAAATACCATTTATTGATGGTGTGCATATATGTAAATGTGTGACTTCCAAACAGTAAAAATAAATGCAAACATTAAACTTAGTTTCTGAAGCATTTGTTTTGTTTGTACTTACAGAGCTTTTACTTTACTTACTTGAATGAATTTGCGATATTAGCAATGGTTATGCTTTTTCTTTCCTTTTTAGATAAATTCTGGTGACCAATTGTTTCTGCTATGTCCCTTTCATGCTTACAATGTCACTTCTGTTAGTGATCGTCACATTTGTCAGTTCTGCATCAAGGTGTCTCTTCAAGTGTTGATGCGGCCCAGTTTTTGTTACTTGGAGATGCATTGACATGGTGCAAAATGCTGAACCCTGGAGCTTTCATGGAATGAGCACTGTGGAGGATTCAGTGTTCATCTCGGTGCCTTCACTTTTTGTGAATGCTCTTGCTCAAGTCATTCCATCTCAATTTATCTAAACCTCTTTTCTTATCTAGATAATTCTCATCTGACTAGCCCTGTCATATATCATCATCAGGACATTATGCTTTGCTGTTACATTTGTACTCATCAAGAATATTTTATGGTGAATTTAAAAGCCATTCATAATACATGAACCTGGTATCAATCTCTCTGCATCCATAGATCTCAGTGCATTTTACAGTCCTCCCAACACAGTGATTTAGAATAGAAGTTTAAACTTGTCTTTTTAACAAGAGTGGGTGTACTTGTTTGGAAAGGATTATTCTTTCAAGAAATTTCTTTACTCGAAGAATGGGTGCAATATGTAGTAGTATGTTTGTGATGTTTTATATTTTTTTGTAGTGTTCATAAATAAAGATTTTCTGTTCTTTGTGGATATTTAAGAATATTGCTGATGCTGGTGGAAAACTGCAGTGCAATAGAAAAGCTTGCAATAGGTATTAATGTGTAGTTAAAGATTAATATTCACTACTGTGATCCTGATTATAGCTTTGCTTAATTATAATCTTCACTTGGGTATAGATATTTGCAAAGTTTAAATTGCTTTAGAAGTACTTTAATGGAAATTAACTAGATTTTGATCATGTTGTACCCTGTCATGCAAACTGAGAGCTGACCAGCATTGAATGACCAGCTTAAAAACTCTAGTGGAGCAGGATGTTTTCATGCCATGCGCATTTTGCCCTTCTTTGATTTGTCTGGTACCTAAATACAATATCAAGTGCTTTGTCTGCCAGTAGATAAATCCAGTGGGATATTTAGCAGGCGTATAAAATTACTTTTGTTTGGAAGTAAAACTTCATATATGAGATGAAAGCAAAAACTCCCTCAACATTCTTAGCAGCTGCCAAGAGCCACTGTATAAAGAACAATGAAGAACAAGCTATAGCCAGAAAATATCCTTTAGGTGAATTGGATGCATCATTTTATATGTACCTTTGGGAGTGCTTTTCCATGTAGATAAATCAAGAGTGAAGTATATAGAAACATGTGGTTTTAGTTCTGTGTAGCTTTGGAAAAATAGAAAAAGCTCCTGTAACTGAGCTGTTAGGCTAGAGTCAGTGTGATCTTGGGATCTTGAGTTGCTTAATATTTTGTTTTGAAATGAATATACTTACAACTTGGTGTTGAAAGGACAGGTGTCTTCAGTACTCTAGACAGTCTTTCTCTAATTGGTTTAAAATTTTGGTAGGTGTCTTGAAGGTTTTGAGGTTTTTTTGTTGTTTGTTTTGTTTTTTATCCTTTTGCAGTGAGGGAGTATAAAAGTGAAAGATGTTACCCAGAATCTGTCTGTTTTTTGACAGGGAAAGCAGCAATTTATGCTTGGGGAGAACAAAAGCTGCTTACATTTGCCTGCAAGTCTACAAGCCAACTTTTTTATATTCAGCTACCACATGGAGCATATTTAGGATGTGCATTTACCTCTGTAAAGTCTCATGTGTGTTAAGGATAATTCGTTACACTTTATGTAACTTAAATGGCATTTGAACAAATACATGAGAAGTTAGTCTTTTACTTATTACCTTGTAAGACTTTTTTCTGTCTATTCCTGTCAGCTGGGCTCTTCATTTTTGCTTAATCGCCCTTTCCTCAATCTTGATTTACGACATCTGATATAAGAGAACAGAGTCACTTTGTCTTTATGTTATAATTATATGGCCTGTTGTAGATAATGTTGTGAATAGGGGCTACTCAGTTCTTTCAGCAGTAGAACACAAGGGGCATCTCGACAAAGTATTGGTGGTAAGTGTCTTCATAATTGAAAACATTCTGGTGTTTTTTTCTAAGTCATTTTAATGCAGAAAATGAGGTACCTTTTTGTATTAACAATAATAAAAAAAAGCTCTGGCATCCACTGTAATCTGGTATATGAATCTTTGCATTTCTTGAATATATTTCAAATGCCAAATCCTGTTGCAAAAGGTGTCCACCAGGATGAACATACTAATTCAGAAAGCATAAATGTTGAAATTGAAACTCCTTCAACCAATATAGTACTTCATAGGAAACTAGTCAAATTATTTTATTCAGAAACTTGCTCTGCTGGAACAACTTCCAAAAGCATCTGAAGGTGCATAGTGACAGGTTCTGAGAAGAAGAAGTTATTGTTAAAGGTGTTATTTTATACTATTATAATATTTTTCTAAATGAGAAAGTTATTTTCCTTTTCTGTACTAATGCTGAAAACTTTAAGAAAAAGGGAAGAGGCAGCTTAAAATGATACTAAGATCCAAGCTGTCAAATTCTCTTTTTTTCTTGATTTCCTACACTACACTGCTTCAAACTCTTAATTGCATAGTATGTAAAAACTGCAGGGGCTGAAGGGTAATGATAGATGACAGTATTTAATGTCATTAAAATTGCTAATTCTGTCAATTCTGTCTAGGCAGTTCTTTAATGGTATCTGTATCCTCTTAGTTCCCTGAGCAAATGGTTAATGTTTTTTAAGGTTATACAAAATGATTTTTGAGTAGTCACATTTTTTATTTTTTTTCTTTTGCTTCCCTCTGCAGCAATGTGATCATTTTTTGCCCTTAATGCTGTTAACATTCTCTGTATTAAAAATTAATAATTTGAGCTGACAGCAGAGTAGTTAGTGACATAAAATATCCATGCATGTCTGCTGATCTGTATTACTTCTCAAAACTTTTTGTAAAAACTTTTTTTTCTTTATTCAGATGCAAATATGTTTTCAAAGGACAAAAATCAAGTCTATAATAAAGCTTACTGTGTGTTCTTGTGTTACCTGGAAAATTGCTTCTCTCCCTTCCCCTCATGCAGTCTAGATGGGATGGACCCATATAATGAGCTTTTATTAGGCTAAGGACTCTTTTCTCTTGCTTAATTATGTTCTATTGAATCTGTGGACTGGGTGTAGTATACTTACTTGATATTTTTTGAGCCCAGTGGAATTTAAAGTGAACAAAAAGTACATAAAATATAAGTCCACTAAGTATAAATAAGACACAGTATAAATATGCCAATTCAGGTGCAGTGATGATTGGTGCCAATACCAGCAAAAGGGAGATTAATGTCACTATGACTGGAATGACAATGGGTACCTGCAAGATAGAAAGCATAAAAATTCTTAGCAAATTCTTAAACTGTTTTTATTAATGTTATATGTGAAAGACATTCCATAACAAAAGCTAGTAGAAAGCTATTGTCATTGCATTTCTTTTCTTTCTTTGAAACATCTCTGGAATTAGATGAGGCAGTTGGAAGAAGCAAGAATATGGATAGGAAAAAAAGGCAAAATCAACATCCATTTGCCTATATTCCTAATAGTAGTGTAACACTGTACAGTTCAGTGACTGCAGGACTGGATTTGAGTGCAGTGAACCTTGGGGCTTATTTCAGATGCTCTTTCAGTATTAGTTCTCTGGCTGCAGATTTCCAGACCTTAGAATCTGCACCTACATTTCTGCCTGTGGTCTGTACAAGTGAAAAACAGCACCGTCTGGCCCTTCCCCAGCCACCAAGAGCTTGTGTTGATGTGCCAGTGAAAAACTTGAATAAAAAGTGGAGGCTCCAATGAATGGTTAGGTTTCCTGCTTCCCTTTTCCCATTTATTTATTCATTTTTAATCTAAAGATACAAGGCAAGATGGCTGCCTCACGTGCGAACTTTTAGGTTAAATGCATGCTTTGCATTTATGGAACTAGAGGAAAAAACAAATGTTGAACTTACCCTGATGGGTCTCTTGAGTTCTTTTCGTGTAAACCTCATAACAATGAGTGCAAATACAGTTAAACCATAAAATATCCAGACCGCGAAACTAAAATAGTTTATGAGAGTTTCAATGTCACCAGGGATAATATAAATAATAGCAATGGCCCCCTAAAATGAAAACAAAAATTAGTATAGCTATTATAAAAGAGGGTTGAACTTCACTGGTGTAGGTGTGGATGTATGTTTATAGTGTTCCCGAATGTGATCTGCGGGTGAGCCTCACTTACGCGTAGGTATGGATGTGTGTTTACGTTGCTATGTGATCTGTGCCTCCTTTTCTTTGCCTTTCAAATTTTGGGTGTGAGCCAATTGTAGCATCTTTAGTTGTAGTACCTGTATCCTGCTAAACGTGTTTTATTTAAGTCAAGCCACTTGCAAGTATGTGTGCATTAAAAGTATTAATGTTATGTTGATCTGTTTTGTTGTTGACTGACAATCTGCTCAACATAAGCAAGAGTTCATGCCTTGGGAAAGGGGGAAGTTAAGGTTGTTATGGGCTGGGAGAGAAATTGATTTCTGAATTTTCCAAAATCGGAATTACTTTGTTTTATCCTGAAGACTAATAATAAATTATAAATAATTAACA